TTTTTTTTTTTTTTCAGGTCCATCTGAGTAACCCTCCAAAATCTGATGCTACAAAACTGAGATTTCATTTAAAAACAAAGTTGAACCATAACACTGGTAGTTATCTAATCAGTTAAGATTTTCAATCTGTTTACCCAATTTTTATTTTCATTTTGGAGATAAGAGCAGACTCAATCTTTAGAATCCCTAAACTTATCATTGTCAACAATTATTGTTGCTACCCTTCGCCTGTTGCATTAATTTTCTCCTTGATCCCATAACAAATTACCACAAATTGAGCAGCTTTAAACAATGCCCGTATATTATCTATAGGTTAGAAGTATTGGTGAGCTGGACTGTGTTTTTTTGCTAAGGTCATATGAGGCTGAAAACTCAACTTCACTATAAAAGATTGATTTATTGTATTTGTCAAGTTTTTCTTTTTTTTATCCTAATTTTAATCAAAGTATTTTGAATTAAGTAACATTTAAAAATTAATTTGAAGTTTTAAATGATGGGTAATTAATAAAAGCTAGTTTTATTCTCCCAAGACCTTAATCATTAGATTAATTACCTTCATGTATACACTTTTAAAAGTCTTTTGATTTATTTATTTTCTTGTCTGAACAAATTTGACAATTTCCCCAAATAGTGTGGTTTTGTGACATCACACTGGACTTCGAGTCTGGACATGGAGAACTGGCTTCATCCCTTTTACTAACTAATCAAATATTTAAGCAGTTACTTATCATAGATTCATCAAGTTTTGGTCTTAAAAGGAGTTTAATATTATCTATGCCAAAAAATTACTTGACTTTTTAATTATTATACAAAATCCCTGCCAAACTTTACTTGGATTCCTCCCATGGAATCTCATTTGATCTTTGGGCATCTCCATTATTAAAATAAAAAACAAAAACTTTCTTTATATTGAATATTTCTCTAGATTCAAGCATACAAATAAATTGCAGTACTTGAAAACATGCAGATTAAGCCTTATCCTCTTACTTTTGTCTCCTAACAGTTCTTCAAATGTTTGAAGATTGTCACCATGTCCATTTTTCTAGATACATATACATCAGTTTATTTTTTCCACGAGTTTTAACTGAATGACAGATTTTTCTTGGTACCGGGTATCTAGAGAGAAATAAGTCTCAGCCTTCATGAAATTAACATTGTCACCACGATTGGCTCATCCAACATTCTTCTCTAGTGGTTCTTTACTGGACCAGATCCAGAACTAGACACCATAATACTCTCCTACTACCCTGGCTCTAGAATCTGTATGAAAACCAAAGCGTTGCTTACAGAGGCGTATTTCGACCTCTCATCGTTAACCAACTTCACTATCCTGACTCAACGTATTCATCTGTTAAAGGAGCACATCAGTAACGTATTTCCAACTTTCCTTCTGGCTCTGGTATTCCAGTTTCCAAGAAATCTGGGTTAATCACATTCTAATTAAAGGCGATCATCTGTATTACAATTCTCAAACAAAGGAAATATCAGATATTGTATTTTCTGTTTGTGAAAAGGCTGAGAAGCAATATACACTTGATGTAAATTTTAATAGAACCCCAGTAAGCTATTTTGCACTTTCATTGTGTAATACATTTCCGTCACTAGTTATCATTCAAATATTCGCATGAGCCATTTCAGGTTTAACTTGTGCTTTGATAGTCTGTTCTCCGAGGCTGCTAGGAACTCCATATAAATAGAAAGCCCACACAGGCCGTCATCTCCAGTTCTTGCTTTTCTTGACAGTTATTCAAAGCCACTTCCTATCCCCTAACCTTTAATTTAACAGAGAAAGTCTGTCACAATAGAGCCAGCTCTGCAGGCGGCTTTGTCCAGCTCTGCAGGCGGCTTCCCCTTTGGGTCACAGAATGCCAAATTCTGTAACAGGCAGGTACACTGGGTATTGCTGTTCTGCAATTGTACAGAAGACAGTCTATTTACCAGTTGGAAGGAAATGGTTGTGTGTTTGCAATTCCATAGAAACTGTCTCTTTGACACTGAGGTGACAAAGGTGCTAGTTATGACCATGAGGTGGGACTCAAATATTCCCTGTTGAAAAAAAATCTAAAAAATCTTTCACTCATAGAGTTTAAGGAAAATAAATAGCACATGTGAACCCACAGATTATGTAAGGGAGCATAATCAACTGTAATCTAGCTCTCACATTATCTTTGTAGTGGGTTGGGTTTTATGTCACCAGTAGCCTTGGATTTTTTTTTGAAGGAGGAATCACTGTGTCTTTCTTCATAATGCAATTAACTTTTTAAAGACTTGTTCAGATGCAAGGAGACCTGCAGTGGCAAAGCTGGAACTTGGACCATGGTCTGAATCTCCATAACCAGAAGCTTGGGGAAAGTGTTCCACACTTCCAAATTATATGCGAACCCCAAAGACATATTCATGGGAAATCAAGTGAAAAAGGACAAAAATACTTCCTGAAATACCAACTCCCTCAGAGATGTGTGACGAAAGAAACGGAAGAACAGCTTCAGGGCTAACAGCGCATTTTGGCTTCTGTAAGAAACTTGCTTGCTTGCCTGCGGCGGGAAGAACCGGGTTCCTGATTGGCTGATTCAAAATTAAACAGCTCCCTCCCGCCTTGGGGACTTCCCGCCCTGTGAAGGGTATAAAAGCCTCGCCCGGCTGTTAGTCGGGGTCTCACTCACTTCTCTCCGAGTGGGACCCTATCCGGACAGTTTGTGTAAGCTTCTATACTTGTTACTTGTATAAATCCTTTGCTAATCTTTCTACTTGGTGTTGGTGATTCTCGGGTGTCCTTGGTTGGGACACGGGTCGCATTTACCGGGGAACTCGACTCCAGGCGTGTGGCTCCCGGACCACAACAGATGAGTTTATTTTTCCCTCATCCTAAATATCCAGCTACCAAATTCTTTTGTATCTAGCTTGAGGTGTTAACACCTCTGTCTTTTCTAGACAGGGAAAATCTGTTCTTCAAAAATGCAGATCTGATCACATCACTTTCCTGTTTCACACTCTTCCATGTATCACTAATGCACTCAGGATAAATCTGGGCTCTTTAGGGGAATGGACAGAGCCCTTTGGCTTAACCACTCACCTCCATAGTTCTGCTTTCATTTGGTCACATGCAGTTCCTTTAATTCCTGAAAAAGCATGCTCTCTTATGATCCTATGACCTTACAGATGCTATTCGCTCTACATGGAGAGTCTGTCCCACCTTGTGTACCTGACAGCACCATTTCTCATTAAGATTCAGAGGACGCCCTGCAATGCAATTTGATTCCACCCTTGATTTTCCTCACCAGCTATATGTGGTCCTTTCCCTCACTCTACTACACCTTATAAATACCATAATGATCTTGTCATAGTCCATGGATTATTTTGATACATAGTTGTCTAAGGATTAAACTGGAAACATGAGGACAGCGTAATTTTTCATTTCCCCAGCATAGTGCTTGAGAGTTTATAGCATCACTAAGTCAATTAATTAAATAACAAACTGTTTCAACCTCAATAAGTGGGCAACTCCAAACCTAATAAATCAGTAAAGCTTGGTTGTAACTATATTCTATAAACGAAGGATGACAATAAAGGGAGAATAAGCAAATAATAGACACTCTAAACCTGTGACAGCTACTGGCACAAAATTACTCATCCCAATATTTCCTAAGATACATCCATAATAGAATGAATAGGGTTGTTCTAAACAAGTGTTTCCAAAACAGTGATCTGAGTCTGAATCTGGCCCACAATATATTTAGTTTAATACGTCTAATGTTTCCCACTTTTAAAATTTATCGTCAACATTTAAAAATCAAGGTAATCAGGGACGTCCCTGGCAGTCCAGTGGCTAAGACTCCACGCTTCCACTGAAGGGGACGTGCATTTGATCACTGGTTGGGGATCTAAGATCCCACACGTCGTGCAGCATGGCCAAAAAAAAAAAAAAAAAAAAAAAAAATCAAGGTAATCAACATAAAATCTAGGTTTTGGGCATATTATGAAGAAAATGGAGGACTTGGTGATGCTGGACCAACATTTTCTCATGATGATCATCAAGGAGTTTAATAGGCAGTTAAGGACCTGCTGTCTCTTTTTCATGGTCCTGATCACCACTGTCTGTCCCTCAGCCCTATTGCAGGCTTATTTTATATTCCAGAGACACATGACTTTGTGAGCCCTGGACAATTTCTTCCACAGATATGATTTTAGGTTAAAAAGCAAGTAAACTACAGATACTGACAATAAGGACATAAATTATGCTCAGAACCATAGCTTATATATGATATTTCAATGCATTTTTCAGAGAGGTAGATTTACCCCAGAGTCTCTCATCCAGGTTATCCAATGAGCTCTTCAACATCCTCTCCATATTATTTATGACCTTGAAAGTTACATTAAACAGAGGAAGGTGATTTGCAATTCAAAACTGAAAGAAAATGATAGCTTATGATTGCACTCTGAAATGAACGAAGCATGTCCAGTTGGTTCAAAGCAGTGCACGCTGGAGACACTTTGCAAGCCAACTGTCAAACCTGCGTTTCACCTTAAGACTGACCTTGGATCGTGGAGGTGCTCGGATGTACCACTTGCAATCAACGGCCTCGCTAGCAGAAGCTTTGCCTTCCTTCATAATTTGTATAGACTCCACAATGCCTTCAGGGCCGCCCATCTCAAACTCACACACTAAATAACGAAATGCCAAACAAACATACAAAAATGGAGCTTGAGTAATAAACCGAAAGTATATATCGTAGCAGAAAACAAAGGCCTCTGAACAGTATTAAATATCTCTTTTACCAACCTGGTAATGGTTTCAAAACTCCAAGGTCCTTAAAGTCAGGATCTTAAAAATTGAGAAAAAGACAATTAGTCTTATTCTGCATTTATGACTTAAAATGAGGTTGAGTAAGATACCATTAAATTATTCAGGAATCTGCCTTATAAAACGTACCAGGGGAAATTAAATGATTAAATAAAAAGTGCATGATAATGTTAATAAGACTGAAATGTTAATTTACATAATGTAATATTATTACTACAGGATTTTTATCAAGAAGCCATTTTAAAAAACCTCCCCATGTCATTACTTCATCTAATAACCAAGTAAGAATCTTACTCATTTTCTTTACAATCAGACAACAGATGTTTTTGTAAAATGTATCCATAGATAATTCAAGGTTTGGGTAAACTTCCGTCTCTTCTAGATACAATTATTTTGTCTGATTACAGCCAGGGTAACATAAAGGTGAGCCTACTGGAGGGCTTCTGAGAATGTTTTCCTTGATAATAAATAGACATAAGGCAGACAGTTTTCCCAGCTCAATTTGTGGTCACGTTTGTGTTGGTGCCTTTGGGATCATGTGTGGTGGGCGACTTGTGATGTTGAGAGATGCTAAGGTAAGAAAATGCTGACTCTTATGATGAGCAGAATAGAACCATGGAGAACTGTGAGTCCTTTAAGAATATCACTGGGGCACTCACTGTACTCACCTCGCCTGGAGCTGCACTTCTCTGGGCTTCTTGCTCTTTTGAAACAATACACGTCGCTATAATCTCAGTTACTTTGAATTGATTTTCTCTTATTTATGGGTGAGAGCATCAGAGGCTATGATTTATCTTGGAGACACATGGTATTCAATATAAAAGATGATTGTGAATTTTAATTACTTTTTGCTACTAGGGTATTAGTGATAAATCAAAAATCTTACAAAGTTAGAAATGTTTCATAAGACACCACTCAGTAATGGTCTAGGGCTGAAATATGAAAGGGTAGCACTCTTTCTGGATAGAATTAGTCCTGGATATTAAGACCATGTGTGCGTGTATGTCCGTGTGTACCTAAGTGTGCTTCCTAGTGCATCTGTGCGTGTGAATGCACCAAATCCATAACCGCAGGCTGATTTTACTAGGGTACTTATCGTCACTACAGGTTTGGTTTTTTTTCTACTAAGTAAAGAAAATATTTAATTTTTTGTGTGTTTGTTTTTAAACAGCAATGTGCACTGATCTGTTGAATCTGAAAGTCCTGGATTGGCCCCCCTACAATTTAGTTATATCACCTATTTAGACTCACTTTATTGCAGGACACTATTAGAATACCAGTGGTAATAAATTTTGAATCAAGATACAAATTCCTTTGTATAAGTGTTTTGAAAACTGTTCTTTTGCTTTTTTGGAAAAGAAAGACAGAAAGAAATACCTGTATGCAATATCCATGAAAGAAACAGAAATGAGGACAACATAGTTTATTTGGATCAGGTCTCTTCCTGGCAGAGATTTTTTTCCTTCATCCAAATCAATGGATATTTGGTTATTCTTTCAAGAAATGTATATGTAATACCTACTATGTACAAGAAAAGAACAGTTTTGTATAGAATTACTCAGATTGGCTGTCACGGTTAAGCACTTTTATTGGTATTGAAGAGACCCACCCATCAAGCTTGCCTACCCCAGTTATCTGGATTCTTTATTATTTATTATATCCTTTTTACTGTTTTTCATAATGGTCATTATTGCTACTCACTATCTCCTTTTTGATGAGAATGCTTCAGCCTTGCATGGCTGTTGCTATGATTCTTGTGAGAACGTAGTTAGTATTCTATTCTCTAGCTTGAAGGCGAAGCTTTGTCAATTTTATAACTCATGCTAGACAACGTTGAGAGAAATTCCAGTTCCGAGAATTGAAAATGTATTTTTGTCATTGTATTAATGGTGAGAGCACTGATTGTTTAAAAAACAATCTTTAGGAAAAAACTCATTTCTGCAATTCCATTTGAATTAGGCACCAGTAATATCACAATCACAATAACACATGGCCCCTACGAACTGCAAAATAAACGACAGAAAATAAACGACACAATTTTTAAAAGCGGCCTACACTGAATTTAAGAATATTGAGATTGACTTATTGCTTCAGGGTGTCCAGGGCAATGACATAAATTATTATGCAGAAGCACAATGACCTTGGACTTAATAGTCATCTACTATTCTACAGCTCCCCAAATCTATTCTCCACTAAACAACCTGAATAAACGTTTAGAAATACAAACCAAATTATGAAATGCACCTGGCTTTCCATTGCCCTTAAGTTAAAGCCACAACTCTTTGTAATGGACTCTAAAGTCCTGTGTGTTCTTGCCCCAGACCGCCTGGGCCAACATACCCTAGACGCTAATCTCTGCTCTTTCCTCTCAAAACACACGGACCCTTTCAATTTCTACAACATTCTAGGCTGTTCTCATCCTCAGTAATTTGACCTTGCTCTTTTCTCCGTCTTCAGTATCTCTCCCCAGGGCTCTGCACCTGTGAATCTTTCTCATGGTTCAGTTCTTCGCTCAAATACCTCTGAGGAAAGGTCTTCTGGATGACCCTCTCCAAGGGTCATTGACTCCCACTTTCTTTGACTCCCATTTTCTTTTCTCCCTTCATGGTTTCTTTTTTTTTTTTTTTTTTTTTGGGGGTCCGCGGGCCTCCCCCTGCTGTGGCCTCTTCTGTTGCGGAGCACAGGCTCCGGACACGCAGGCTCAGCAGCCATAGCCCACGGGCACAGCCGCTCCGCGGCATGTGGGATCTTCCCGGACCGGGGCACGAACCCGCGTCCCCTGCATCGGCAGGCGGACTCTCAACCACTGCGCCACCAGGGAAGCCCCATGGTTTCTTTTATCACAATTATTTTGCCAGTTGTTAGCTTTTTATTGACCACCTACTCCCGCTAGACTATAAGGAAGTATGCTCTACAAGGGCCTTTAAGTCTATTCTTCCTCCCTTTATCCAGGACCAAGGACACTGCTTGGACATAGTGCGTGCCCAATAAATGTTATTGAATGATATTGAATTTACATTACGCCGACTTGACTTTCTTATATTGTTGACATATGTACAATGCTTTATACCTACACTTTTCCAATTGAGAGGCTCTCACAGGAAATCTATCAAATTAGGTGCTATATTCAAGACTGACCTCCTATTTACTAAACCTGCATCTTTTTCTTCCTGGCACACAGCTAACTATGTTTCCAGCCTCCCTTGCAACTGGGGATATCATGTCTAATGAAATGTGGACAAAGCGTTGAAGTTTACTTGAAGGCTGGGCTCACAAAAACTTCTTGAAAAAATTATCCACTCCCACTTTTGCTCTCCCCTGGTCAACCTCAGAAGGCAGACATTGACGACATAGAACCCCATCGGCTCCAATTCCTAAATGAATGTGTGGAGTACAGCCTTTTCCTGATTAGGCTAAATGAGCAAGCAGTAGTAAACTTTAATAATGTGAAATTACTGAGGTTTCAGATTGTTTGTTGTTGTTATTACAGCTATTATTCCCCTAACCCAGCGTTGTTCAAGGCTGAAGTCATGGTCAAGGGCCCCTAGGGTCCTTGAGACCCTTTCATGAGACCCAAAGGCTAAAGTGTTTCATAATCCTACTAAAATGACATGCTATCTTTAATTTTCCCTGCTATAATCCTTGTAACCCCATTTTTTGTCCGATACGTTCTAATTCTGAAATTTTGTCTTGAGCCTACATGGCAGCACAGCTAGAATTAGTACATTTCTCTGTCCTGTTTTATAAATACACACACACAGGTAAAAGTGTATGTATTATGAAATTTAACAGTATTTCCCCTGAAATACAATATATTTATAATATAGGTTTCTTACGGTGAAGGATGGACATCTGTCAGAGATGAAGGAGACTAAACCTCACTTTTCTCCATCACCATTTACACTGTCTATAGCCAACGTTTGAGAAAAGAATGAAACTGATATTTCAAAGCAGTCTCTTATTGATGGAAAGGAGAAATCTACTGTGAATCAAATGAAAAAGCTTCACATAAGAAATGAAAAGAAGACAAAAGCTATCTTTCCTTCAGCCTCATTGATGTCAATAATTTGCCCTATTGTGATTTAGGAAGAAAAATACTTTCTGGTAGTTTTATTGTGACAGTTTGATCGCAACATTATTTTGAGACAAATAATTGTTTGGGAAGTATTGAATATTTTAAATGTAGACGTTAATATGCTCTTTAAAAGCTAAAACTCTCTCAGTATTGTGTGTGCCTCTCCAGCCACTGTGACCATTTACCGTGTAAGATGCTTTGGTGGCTTTTGCATATCTAGTTTGAAAGCTATAACAGCTAATTTTCGGATTTTAAAGAGTTCATCACATTTATGGTTGAAAAATTCAGTTCTTTTTCTTTAATGATCGACCTCAAAATTATGCCACAACTGAACAAATGCAATAATGCCATTCAATAATGTCCTATTGCATAACAGTCAGCTAAATTTTAACATCTCTGAAACCTGGGAAAGAACAGATTTTATTATACTCTTGCTTCTTATTTAGAGTTTAGTTCATTTTCTTTGGAGTAGATCCTTCACTTCCATGAGTCAGAGAACTCTGTTATTCCAATTTCTTTTTCAGCATCGTTAGATGTTAAACTGTGCAGTTGGGTTGAGAAAGCAAGTCTTCTAATTTTCCTAATCAAGGTCTACAATGAGTCTTTAAATATTAAAAAATATATATTTTTTAATTTTATGGTGAAATAACACATGTTAATATAATAGTTGTAAAAGTATATGAGATAATGTTATATAATTATATAGTTATTACATATAACTTTTTATCTGGGAAAATTTTGAATAAACAAAAAATAATATTGCAAAACAAAACAAAATCAAAAAGCTAAAAGTCATTTGTTACACTTTTCAAATTAAAAATGACAGTCACTGAAACATGTTACAAAGTCGGTTATTGTATTGTATTGGCTGGAGAAGCACACATAAGACCTGAGAAACTAATAAAGCAATGCCTTTAGTCAGCTGCCATTGCTGAATGTCTACTGG